AAAGTGGCAAAAAGAAAAGAAAAATAAATAAAATAAAATTAAAATAAATAAAATAAAATTAAAATAAATAAATAAATAAATAAAGGAAGAAGAAAAAAAAAACTGTTGCAGAAACTGGGAAGGCCAGAATCTTGAAAGGCCGAAATTCGCTTTGGCCAAGTGAGAAAAACAAAATGTCCCCAATTATTTACGAAAAACCCCATCGGTTTCACACGTCCTGGTATGAGTTTTGAGGAGCGAAGCTCGCCTTCATCAACTCATGCAGCGCAGCTGCCGGCACGCACACTCCACCTGGGCGAAAAAGCGACATTGAGCAACGATATCCTGACCACTCAAGGCATTTGCTTGGGGGTGTCTTTCAAAACCCATCCATTGGGTTCTGCGGCAAAAACAACGGGGCTCCATGTGAAAACGTTGGACACATGCACAATTCTTCAAATGTTCCATTTCGAGCAACATCTTTCACTGACCCAAAGCCAGATGCCTCGAAAATGAGAGAAAACGTGGCCCGAAACAAAGCAAACCTCGGAAAAAGCCGCAAAGTGGTGAAACGCTCAAAACACAACCCAGCGCCACATTTTGGGATTTTGTAGAGCTGTATCTCCGTCTGCAGGTCTTAGGAAATCAGGTTGGCCTTCGTGAAAACTGTGAAAAGCCACCCGATTTTTGGTGTTCCCTCAAAGTCACGCCGCACTAAACAGCGCAGTCCTCAACCCGCAAAGACATGCTGACGCAAGTGTTCTGGCATGATCCAGCCGCACGTCAGCAACAGATTCAAATTCTGAAGTTTGGGAAGCCCTGTCATGCAACCCGCTCGGCCTACATCCACACACTGCTGCGGCTTTTCTGCGCACGGCGCCTGGCAGCTCGGAAGCAAATGATGATCAAAACTGCGAATCTGTCAGTCATGGCCCATGGTTCCCCTGATGCTGTGGCTGGACAAAATCCTGCACCAGGTGCTAGGTGGTGGTGCTCGGGCGCAGGACCCTTCCTAGCAATCCCAAGTAAAAAATGTTCTCGTTGTTTGCACGAGTGGGGTGCCGAGGATTTGGCTGGGCCAGTCTCATGAGGGAAGCCTCAAAAACAGGTACCTTTGGAAGTTGCCAGGGTGCTTTCCTCCCATCTCTTCGCATGTGCTGAAAGAATACCAAACGCAAAAATATTTCGGAAGCTCCAGGAATATCGTCTCAAAGCCTTCTTTCATCTTGAGACCCCCCCAACCCCAACCCCCCCCCCCCCATCCCAACCGCCCCCCCAACCCCAACCCCAACCCCAACCCGGCCGGCCGCCAGCGCCTCCGACGCCTCTCGCTCCGCCGGCACGTCGCCAACCTCCACGTCTTTGGGCGCCATGGGCGCTGCGCGAGGCGGCGAGGGGCGCGCTGAGCCAAGCGGCCAATGGTCGGCGCAGTGGGGGGTTGCTTTTATGCGGGGAAAACCCCAGAATTTGGGAGGTCGGTTTCAGCAGTTGGTCAGAGGAAAACCGGTTTGGTTGGAGAAAACCCAGTTTTTTTCCGGTCCGAACTTGAAAGGACTGCCTGGAATGGCAACAAGAAAGTGCAAACGAGTGCAAAAGCAAGACGCGCAACATGCTCCAGAAAGAGCTCAAAAGAAAGGCGGAGATGCCACGCTGCAAAACAACATTATGTGGGCCTGGCACAGCGAAGAAAACAAAACCGCCGGCGCAGGCTCCCTTATGAAAGAGCTCCACTCTTCACTTCGGATTCGAGCACCGCGGCAAGGGGGGAATGTTTTTCCACTTTTGGCTTGGAACTCGTCTTTGGTTCTGACTGGTATCTCTTCACTCCGCCCATCAAAGCCCGAGCCGGAGGATCTCCGACCCAAAGGAAGCCGACCAGTTCGTGGAAAACCACCCGCCTGGGGGATTTGGGGGATGGGCCTTACGGGGAAGACCACGATTTTGAGGATGTTTTTCGGGGAGACCGGAAAAGGAACAGCCCCCCCCCCATTCGCGGGCTTCTCGCTTTCAAGAGACACTCATTGCAAAGCTCCATCAAGCCGGCCCCCCCCCCCCCCCATACCAATACGGAAAAATCCTACCTGTTTCAAGCAAAAAGTTAAAGTCTAAAGATATCTAAACATCCAACCCAATAGCAATCAAGCAACCCCCCATCAAGGTTCTCAGAACCCACCTTCCGGCGACGTCGCGCGCTCGGGGCATGAGCTGAACAAGTGGCTTCGTTGGGTAAGCGCCAGCTCAAAACCCAGGGGAGACCCCGCCACCAATGACAAACTCGGTCCAGCACAGAAACGAGGCAAGGCCAAGCACCACAAACCAACAGAAAACACAAGGCAAAGTAAAACAACAAAAGATCCATCGAAACAAGAGAACAAGGACACATGCCGACATGCCCACTTCTCCTCTGGCACATCTTTCCTCGGCGTCGCCTTTTTGACTCACACGCACAGGTCAAACGAAAAGCGAAGCGGCAATTAAACCACAGAGGACGATCGGCCCATGGTTCGCAGAACTCCTGGTAAATCCCAGAGGCCGAGCTTCTTTGGTTCTGCGCAGATCCGTTCCCCCTTCAAGCCTTTCAGAGACTTGGACTCGGTCAATGAGTTTGGGGTTCGGAAAAGCCGACCAAAACGACAGCAGGTTTACAGCTCCATCGACAGTTCAGGTCTCGCAAGGGCCGTACTTTGCGCCCTTCCAACAGCTTGGCCGAAGTCGGGCTGAAGCCTTCGCCAGCGAGCGGGAACACCATGCTGACCCGGGGGAGCTGGGCGAAGAGGCTATCCCCGCTTGCCATTTCATCACAGAGATCTTGACGGGACAGGCCTGACCAAATGCGCTCCTTAGAGGAGCGCAGTGTTTAAAAAAACGGCAAGGACTTCCTCTTCTTGGCTTCCTTTGGAAACAAAACCGTTTCCGCGGCTTTTTGGGGAGGTGGGTCTGCCCCTTTTCTGGATGCGTTTCCACGTGAAACTTCAAGAGCTGACCGAACCCCCCCCCCTCCCCCCAGTTTTTTTTGCCCGAACTGCGCCAAACCCGGGGCGCTCAAACTGGCCGGAGAAGTGCTCAGCTTGAGGCCTAAAGCTTCCAATGGAGAGATGGTGGACCCCGTTTGTTCTGTGGGAGTCTTATGTTCTCCTAGGCTCATAGGTGAACATGGTCGTGGCTTGAAAGCTTCCCCCCGGCAACGCCAAGCCTCGTGGTGAAACGGTTTCGCGCGACACATCCGAAGCGAAGGCCGAAGCCGATGGACGGCGGCGGCATCAACAGCGAACTTCAGGGGCTCTGATCCTCCTTGGGAGCGAGCAGCAAGAGCTCCAGCACATCCTCGTTGCACTCCTCGCCGCCGCTTCGATGCGGCCGATGCAGTTGACCCAGTAAGTCTCATGCACTGCGCTTCAAAAAGGCGCAGCATCGATTCGCCCTTGGAGGACCTCAGAAGCTAGACTTTGGTGGGCATTTGAGGGCACCCGCAACAGCGCCGATGGTTCCCGACTCAGTCTCACAGCCACTTGCGTTTCTTTGAGAAGAAACTCACCTTACCCCTCATTGGCGGTTTGGTTTGGTGGTTTGGACGTTAGAGGGTAATTGAGTTGACTTCAAAAGGAAGTGGGTGTATATCCCCTGAACCACCAATCAAAACACCAATCAAGATACCTGAAAGCCTTCAAGGGAAGCGGGTCCCGGTAGAGCAAGCTGCGGGTGTTCTTTGGGACCCGAAAGGCTTCTGAGATGCCCAGTGGCGGGAAAAAAGGATCGGCCTCCTTTTTTGGTTGGTTCCGCTTGCTCAAGACCCCACCCCACCCAATTGGAGTGAGTGGAGCCCACATCCTGGCCGAAGCCAAAAATCAGGCCGTCCCACTAAGGGGAAGGGCTAAGCATGAATTAAGTCTATAGGGGAACCCTTCCAGAAAAAAGGAACAAAGGGCGCAACTGGGCAACTGGGGCTTGCTTCGACCAAGCTCCTCGATCCGTTGCTGCGCCACCGACTTCTTCCCCAGGCTGCTGTCCTCAGTCGCAGGGTGCACTCCGACCCATTTTGCGCCGCCTTCGTGGAGCTCTCAAACCAATTCCCACATTTTGAATACCCAAAATACAAGCTTCGCCTGGCTCGTTGCTGGTAACGTCACAGGTCGCCTGTGCACAGGTTCCAATGTTGCAGAGAAACTATTTGGCAGAGTCACTGAGTCACTTTAAGAATTTCAAACCACGAGCAAACCACTGGTATGTCTTTTTGCGAATGATTCCAGGGCACAGGTCTGTAGTGGGAACATGTATATAAGCGTGGTCACCTGGAAACAACGTCTGGTCCAACTGTGTTTTGGCTCAAGTTCCCCTGGCACTCCTAGCAATAAGCGGAGCAAGAGGAAAGAGGTAAAAGAGCGCGGCTGACGCTGAGGGTAGGTAAAGGTGTGAGGGTGAAAGTGCAATCATTGAAACCCGATTCGCACTTTTTGGGCTGCCCCTGACCCACAGGTGAAGCACCGGAAGCCCCGAAATCTGCCACATCTGATGGGAACGCAGTGCATAGACAGAAGTTGGCGAAGCTTGAAAAGTGTTGGCCGTAGGCCAGTAAACAGGCCAAGACTTTTGCAGCGGACCTTTCGTCGGGGCAAGGCGCAACAGAATGCCAATGAGTTTCATAAAAGTTGCTCAGGCCAAATAGTTTTCCCAGAGGCCACGAAGACGGCTTTTGCAAATCCTGCACCATGATTCCCAACAGGAGCTGCTACATGGAAAACTCCCAAAACAAGAAATCTCCAGGCACGGGGGAAGAATCTGAGAGCCAAACATTAGTTAGCGGTCAACAATGGACCCAAAACAACGGTCCGTCGCTTTGACAATACCTTTGCGGGTGCCAGGACATCTGAACCTGGGAAACAGAAAGGCAGGTCGACAGTGGCGGTGCAACTTCGACGGGGCCAAAAACGGCCCCGCCGCGCGGAGAAGAAGAAATATATGAAAAATGTCCGCCAGCGACCGTGGTGGCGTGCGTAACCCAAAAAACAAAAAATCAGCACCCCTCATGAAGGAGATGAACCTGATCTTCGGTCCACAAGGCCCTCCCCTGCTAAAAGTGAATAACCTTTTAGTGGTTTGGTGGAGAGCCCATTAGATGGCAAAAAGTCAAAGTCCTAACATCCCTCAAAATGCAGCAAAGGAACAACATCATTGCACACCATTCCCGAACTGAAATCGGTGAGCTCAACGGCTGGAGTCTGACAGGAAACCAGGCCCTCCAAAATAAACCTCGCGGAGTTGCCGAGGTTTGCCGTTCACTGCCAGAAAATGGTGTCCATGTCAACTCTCCGATTGGAGCCGTAAATCAATCAGAGGCACTCAAAAAAACAACGATTTTTCAGCCCTCTATACTTGGCTGCTGTTGACCCCCTCTGCAAAAGTCTAGCTGGTTGTGGGTGAAGTGGAAAACCCCCTTGGATTTCAACCAAGATGGTAAAGTCTAAAGATCCAACCCGAGAGCAATCAGGTATACCTCAGCTGTGACTCACCCAGCGCTTCTTTTCCTTGTGCCGTATCTTTGCCCGGCGGCCAGGCACATCTTCACGGCGCCCATCGCCCGCTCGGAGAGGATGAAGAGCAACTTAGCTTGGTTGACGTTGGAAGGGGAGCAACAATTCAAAAATCTTAGCAGTTGAGTGGATTTGGATTTCAACCACTAAACCGCAATAAGCAAAAATGGAAACAACATGTTTCCCAACAACCATGTTAGCACGCAACACCGGATCCATACGGATCCATGCGCAGCGAAGGTCTTGCTACTCAGGGAACACGGGAGCGAGCCAACACGGCAAGTGAGGTACCAAAACAGCACATGTCGGAAGATTTTCTCCGCTACGCTCCGAGCCGCTAAGCCCGGGCCCGGAAGGAAAACCTCCTCGTCGCGTTTTGCGTTTTTGTTCAATCACGTGAGGACACGGAAGCCGAATCGAAGGAGCAACAAATCGAAGTCAGAGTGAGGACGTCACTTTCTCCTTGCTGGAGCGAATGGCAAGTGCTGATGTGCTTCAAACAGCTTCAGGGCAGGGACCAAGCTCCGAATTTCAACATCAAACATTTCTTGTTGGAACAACCATCCTTTTGTTTCCTCTTTAAAGGGGAGGGAGGAAATCTTCCTTAGGGTTTTGACCACTAAACAGAATCTTCCCGCAGAGGGGTTTAGGGTGCCAAGGAGATTTGTCCCGCCCGTACCGTGAACATCCGATTCAATCCAACCACCAAGAATAGGTTCTAAAGTGAGTGGTGAATTCACCTACCAACCAAAATTGGATCCCATGACGGTTTTGACCACCACTGCATGCGCCTTTCAAGACGCTAGCTGCGAAATGCGAAGGGTCTGACCAGAAGTTCTGCACCAGCCAAAAGTAGAACGGGGAAGCCTAAATCCTGGGGCACCGTGTGATGAAAGCTAAAATCGCATTACCCGGAGAAACTCCGAAGCACAAAATTTTAGTGAATGTCAAGAGTGAACTTGACAAACAGCGGCCTGTGGTCACATGGTCATGGTCAAACAATGACTTGTTGTGTGGCCGTGAATTCTATTGGGCATGAAAGATTGCTGGTGCACATAAATCCCCATTTAAATGATGTCCTCCTCGCCTCGCAGCCGCATATTTCATTTTCTGCTTCGTCCTTTTCGTTTGTGGGGGGGGAAGGCGGCATGGATCGGTCGAATCAGTCTGGGCGCCAGCTTGCTCGCCAAATTGACTTTATCGTCCAAGAACATGAAGATCACGATGTAACAGCTGCAGGTCACCCCCGCGTATGCCAGAAACTGCAGAATCCACATCCACGCCTCGGATCTGTCACAATTCAGCTGAGCATTCCTGCTGAAACTGGGCCCATCGGATCGAACTATCTGGCTGTTGTGTATCTCCAAGTTACTGCTTGGCAGTATGGCACCCGGGAAAAGAAATATGTTGGGAATCGAATAAAGGACTGGATGCCCTTTGCAAGAAGAGTTAAACAGAACCGAAAAAGCCCCCAAAAAAAGAATCCAGCCGTTTTGAAGAAGAGTTGAACAAAACCGGCAGAGCCCCGGAAGAAAAACAAATCCAAGCTGACTGACCTCTTCTTGGCAAATAGAGCCCAGCGCCTTGGAAGTTTCCGGACGATCGAAGACCTCGGTCCTTGACCTGGAAACGTTTCGGTCAAGTGAAACGAGCGAAGCATCGCATCATCTTTCAGCCAAGAGTTCCCAATGCACTAAACTGCTTGGTCTTGACGCAAGACCAAGTCCTGAAGCCCCATTGGCTTTAACAAACGCCGCTTTCTGTGACAAAGATCGCCACCACACAGTCAAGTCCCTTGATATCAAAGTGGTCAGGGCTCCAACTGTCTTCAGGGCCCGGCAAACCACTGCCCAAACGACCCCACATTTGGCGACGTTTGGTGGTTGGCAGGGTTCCTAATATGTTTCCCGTTTCAACAACACCAACAAAGCAAAGTCACTTAACCTTGCACATGCCTTCTTCGAGGGGTGACAGTCTGGATCCTTTGCTCGCTCACTGCCACCAAAGGACAATCCATGAATTCACCCGGACACTCACCCGGGATAGGATGTTTATGTTGAGCTCACACATCCAGCCGACTTACATGTCACCTGCCACGCACGTGGAGCGGCTGGTGTGGAAAGTAGAACTTGGTTGCTGTTGACCCCCCTGCAAAGAGTTTCACTTTTTGGGGGTTTTGGTGGAAAACACCTTTATTTCCCAAAAAGTTAAAGTCTAAAGATCCAACCCAATAGCAGGTTGAGTGCGTCCACCGAGACGCCCGAAGCTTGCCAAGCTACATCCAGGCCCGTGTCGATTTGCGGCACGACCCTTTGCTGTGCGAAGGAGAAGCGGAAGGCCAAGAGCTTCTTCAGCGCCAAGTTGGCCTCGGGAAACACCAGTACCCCCAGTGAACCTCCGATTCAATCCAACCACCAAAATAGGCTCGAAAATGGGTGAATTCACCTACCAACCAAAATGGGATCCCATTGGTTTCGACCCACGGCCATTTTATGTGAAATCCTTGGCCGTACCCGTCAACCTGAATTAGGGGATCCCTCAAGGGTCTGCGATTAGAGGCCCGGATGCAGTTCTTTGACTCGCCCAAAGCAATCTTAAACCGGGGGAAATCAACCACGCCTGGATTTAAGTTTGGGGTTGTCCAAAAATGGAACCCGAAATGGAACCCCGCCCACATTTGTGTTCGCTACCCCCGTCTCAGGGAGCTCGCTGCGACCCAGCCAAAATATGCGGACCCCGGCCAGCCGGCTGAAATTTGGCTTGGATTGCTCGGTGGAGCCTTGCTTGGCAGTCCATTGGCAGGTATCCGACTCCAACTTATCGGGCAATGATATGGCGAAAACATGTACCAAAGTGACACCTTGGTAAATGGAACCCAGGCTCTTTAATTTTCAGGCGCGCCCACATGGAAATCAAAAGAAACCAACAGGTGTCTCCGGGTCGGGACCTTTTGCCCCCAAAGATATCAATTGGTCGGAGAAGTTGTTTCCCAGGGGCCTGAAAAAAGACCTGATTATTTTGGTTGGGCTACGGCTACAACACCTCCAGACAAGAAATGCCCAACCGTGCTCAGACCGCCCAGCTGCACCATACCTGCAGCTCGATCAACCAGGTGTTTAGATGCCTGATATATTGATATATAGATATATATATATATATGTATGTATACAGAGAGAGAGAGAGAGAGAGAGAGGGAGATTATGTTCCGAAATGGCGACTGAACCCATGAACTTCAGGGACCCCAAATCTGGGGTTTGCTTCGCATCGAAATCCCTTGCCAGTTTTCTCAGCCAAGTCACCACGAAGCAAAACATGCACATCACCGGGCACACCGTCCCGAACATCGCCAGGAAGCCTCTGCAAGCGCGAGATGAGGCGCAAGACCCATTCAGCCCATTAGGTGTGTCGGGTCTTTCGCGGGACCCCAAAATGGCAACGGTGTCCTTTGGGTTTCCCGGAAAAAAAACGGGAAAAAGGTGGGAGATCGGAACGGTTTCCTTTGGGTTTCCCTTTACAACCGGGAGAAAAAAGAAGAAAAACAACTGTAGCCTCCAAAAAAACGAGCCACCCCCATCATGGGGGATTTCGAATCCCAAGCAAAGGATCCCCTCAATGGGAAGCTCGATCAAAAAGACCGCCCCGGGGTCACCCTTGTTTTCCGACTTTTCCCTTCGGGTCCCGGTGATTCACTGTTTCAAAGGGTTTCGACCCCAAAATTGCGGGCATCTAGTCCTTGAGGAATGTCCGAGTCATAAGACCTTGGGTCGATACAAAACTCAGTTGGACTCATGAGGGGACCTGCCCTGCCCATGTTCAGAGCCCCATCAACTGCATGGTAAAATCGTACCAAAAAAGATGGGGTTGGAAAAAAACAAAAAACGAGGGCCGCTCATGCAAAACTGGCCTGAACTTTCCGCAACCCGCTGGCCTCTCTGCCGGAAGCTTTTGATTTAGGATAGGTTGAAAAATCAAACACCGCAAGAAAGTCATTAAAAACACAATGGGTGGAATGGACTCCCTTCCCAAGTCTGTCTCCAAAAGAAGACATGCTTGAGGTTCTCGTCAAGCAAACTTAGGTTCAAAATATCTCAAGCCCGGAAATTAAAAAGTCACCCAAGACAAAGATCATCGAACTGTGTGGTGGAACTCAATGAACCACCACAAACAGAGACCCCTTTGCGTGCTTAGTCTTCACAGCAACTTTCAAGCCGAACCACCTTCAAAGTGAACCAAGGTGTTCTGGATTCGTGTTTCAAGGGAAACCACCCCAAACAAGGTGGAAAGCGTCAAGATGAAAGCCAGCGGAGTGGCCAAGGCGAGCATTACTGTCTATCCTTGGTGAAAAAGTGCTCCTCAGGCTTTTGCTTTTGGCTCCGTCAAGGAGCTGAGGCACTCCGGATTTAGGTAACAACCCAAGGGGCTACCCCCCAACAGCCTTGACCGCCTCACAACTTGCCCGGGCCGCCTCGGCCGCCACAAACGAACTGGCCAATCGACCGATTTCAGACCAGTCGCTGGAGGAGGAAAGAATGTGATTGGAAAGTACACGCCCCCAGCCCCACCCCCCAAAAAAAAATCGGGTTTCTGCCAATAAGGGCGGTTAAGGGAGCATGCGACAAAACAAAGGATGTCTTTCTGGGAGTTCGCATTCTCTTCAGAATCTGAAGGGGCCACGCGGTTTTCTTATCACAAGGTTGGACCGTACGAGCCTGGCGAGAGCAAGAAACTGTACTTAAAATGAACGCAAAGGAAGAGCCACACCAAACCGTGAAACGTGAGATGGGAGAATCTATTCGCCCTCAACTCTGGTTGATAAACGTCAACATTTTAGGGAAAACCCTATGAGGGAAACTCCCATCAAATCCTCCGGGCACTGCCACCAGGCGGATTTCATGGGCCTGTCACCGGTTGCAACCGCTAACCCAAAACGAGAGTGAAGAGCGCATACTGCGAGAGTTGATGATACCTCAGCTTCCTCCTCCCATGTTTTGTGAACTCTAAAATAGACAACAAGTTCAAAAAGATCCGAGGCAACATTGCTGTGTCCTTGCCTACCTGAAACCGGAACGGAGGGGGTCGCAAAAGCAACAGCAGTCCCCTTTGAGCTCCCAGCGAGCCCTTGGTTGCCCAATGATGTCCTCCGGGCCCAAACACTTGGCTATAGCACTGAACTCGGAAAAAGGTGAAGCGCTGGACGCTGTTCCCAGCATGTGGGTGTGGCTCAAAAGTAAAGAGCTAGGGCAAACCGCAGGTTCCAGTCTCAATGAACCAAGGTGCCATTTTCATACATTGTTTTTGACCGACCGCCATATTTTCTGCAGAACCCCGGATATTTGAAACAGCTTGTCCCGAGGAGCCGAAGGATAGGACGATCTGCATGAAATCGTCCACCTCCGTGGCCACGTCGAACTCACTCATCAAAGCCTGCACCTCCAGAAACGTGATCCTCGAGGCGATTTGGCGCGGAGTCTGAGGGGTTTTCTGGAGGTTCAACTGACTAACCATGGCGATGCTGACCCCGGATTAATCACCCCCTGTTTATTCATATGGGGGTGGGGGCCCCTCCAAAAGTGATAAATCCCTACTAAATCCAGGGACACCCCCATATTCAGAAACAGGGGTTTATCATTCCCTTTAAAACCAACGAGGAAGAAACACGATTCCTCAGATGGAAAAGGCAATTGTTTAAAGCGGGTTAAAACATGGTTTCAACCAGCGCTTGGCCCAATCCTCAGTTGCCCCACGGGATTCACTTGGTGCCGCTGAACCCGTTGCCCGAAAGATTCCACAAGCGGTGTAGATGGGCGTGTCCTTTGGGTCCATTTTGAGACAAGCGCATTTTCCCCTCAAACATTGTCCCCAAAAGCTTGCCTCGTCCTTCTCACTGGCATGGCTCAACGGGGTCAGTGGTGCCCTCCGACGAAATATCCAATCCAAAGGGTCCAAATGAGCCACGTCCGAAACGTTGCTTGATTTGCCATGCCGTATTTTTCTAGCTTACACCACCAAACGTGGAGTTTCTCCTTACGCGACACATGTGGAGGTTTTGCTTACACTGGCTCACGCGACCTTTCGCGCGACGAGTTTTTGCTTGTGCACAGGTCGATACGACACGACTCTCGCTAAACATGTACACAGAGGTTTTGGACGCCGCTCAAATGGGTTCGTCGACATGATGACAGCTTTGGCCAACCCCAAAAATGGTGGCGGCTTCGGTCTTCCTAATTGGTTTACCTTCAAAACTACCCCGAAAAGGATGTCAAACGAACGCACACCCATACATCACCTTTCACCCAACCGAGGAAATACCTTGAGCCTCAAACCCACCCCTTTCTGCGATGTCAGGCGTGTCCAACGCACTCATCACTTGGATGAATCCGGGGATGTACCTAGATCCTCCAGTAGAGAGCTTAGAATAAGGGTACCAACTTCTTTATGTAGTCTATTTTAGTAGGGGAACCCTCCCCCTAAAAAAGGATGTAAAAGGGCACTCACTACTGGGGGACCTAGATACCTACCAAAGGGGATTAGGTCCATTCACAGTTTGGCCATTCGGGGGGAATTCCCTTCCCAAAGTCCGGATGTGTCCAACCCCAGTAGTGGACGCACCAACCACATTGCAAGTAAACCAACCCTACTCGACCACCAAAACCCTAGTAAATTACATATTTTTCAGAGGGGTTCCTTGTTCCCTTGCTTGAAGATTGTCAGGATATCCGGACACCATCCCCTCATTTCCACCGAACCAAGGTGTTTCAGCCCAGGGACCTGTGCCTTTCGCGTCGGAGCAACCCAAAAACCGACTCTGATACACATGGCTTTGTGTCAACATAGAGGACTCTATTTAAAAAGAAAAGGCGAGAAAGTGGCTACCCAACAAAACTTCGCAGAAAACGTAGGAGCATCGATTTTCTCCAGGATACAGTTTCGAAAGGGGGGCCATTGAGACCCCATACTGGGAGAGCTCCCCAATAAACTCTTTGTTTTTTGTTGTATGCTCACATGGTTACTGGTTAAAATGTCGTACCCCTACTAAATATTTCAATCCCCGCTAAAATAGACCAAAATTGGTGGTGCACCTACCCCAAAATGGGATGCCACATACACGGAATGACCGTCTTCCTCACACGCAGCCCAGAGGTCCCTGACCATTGCCTCTAGAGCGTCCTTCTGGTTGGTTCCGTTGTACTTGGGGAATCCATATGCTAAAACCCAAAAACTCTCCTAGGATAGTCTGCTCTGTTGCGTGCCTTTGGTAGGAGCCCAAAAGGGCCTGCTCTTCACAAATGGTAAAAAGATACCTTATGTTGCTACAAGCTAAATTAACGGCTTGCAACCTCTCCAAGCAAACAAGGAAAAAATGCCTGTTGTTCACCAAATCTACCTTAGCCGTTGCCCCCCGCCAAAAAACAAGTAGGCTTAATCCTGGTCCACATGTTTCGTGAACCTTACAGCCAAAAAAAAAACAAAATCGCGAATCCCGGCTCCAGGTTCCTTCGAACCCAACCAGAAACTCCAAGAGAGAACTGGATCCCAGCACTTGCACACGGGTTTTTTTTTTTTTTTCCGAGGCGCATAGAGCTGCCCTTCTTGTTCCTCAAGGCCGCCTTGACGCTCCACAGCTGAAATGCCACCTGCGAGGGCGAAAATTTGAAAGCGCCGGTCTTCCACGGGAAAACAAACCGACTGATGTTGCTGCGAAATTCGGATGTCCCTGATACCAACGAGCAATAGTTTCAACCATAATTTCCATCCTATAAGGCTCCGTATACTTCTCCCTACACTGCTACCAGGGGACACGCATCTTTGGGCCAAAAAGGTGATCCTTAAGACCACCGCGGTCCTTTCGCGACTACCCCACTCGTGTGAAGATGTTAAAACCAAACAGCGATATATAGGGACCCCTGACCTACTTAGTAGGTGATAACGGTGGTTCTAAGCAAACTAACCTCAGTTTCCCACACTAACAGCCCACTTTTGTTGCTAGGGAACTTTCATGGATTCACTCAACGTGTGGCACTCGATGGTTGGCATCCTATGGTTGACCTGTACTCTGCACTCCGCAGGGAGTGCAACCAAAAAACCGTAAACCCGGGACTCCCGGCCCAGTGGGCTGCCCCGGCGTGGTATCTTCAGCTCACGTTCTTGAACCCTCCCCTCCCCACATGGCATCTGCCTGCCTCAGGGGGGTTGCCACCTCTCTGAGGAAATGGCCGACCCCCTCAAGGAATCGAATCCTACCAAGGACGCCGCTCCATCTTCGCCACTGCGGCAACCAGAGCCCCCTGAGGCAGGCAGATGCCTTGGAGCTCCGCGTTGGTGTCTTCAGGCCTGTGGTCCAGAGGGCGGGGGCCATTCGCCCGCTCGCCGGATGGAAGCTCGCCGGACCGGAGACTCAAGGCCGAAGGAGTCTGGACCATGGACTCGAAAAAAAAGGTCCGAGGAAAAAAAGAGGAAAAAAAAAGAGACTAGATCTTCCAACACGGACCAGCCGTGCAAAGCGATTGAAAAGACCCGGCAAGTACCGTTTCAAGGAGATCCGATTTTGGAGAACCCCGACGTCCCGCGCCTGCAAAAGCAGCGCAATGGCTCCGGAGATGATCTGAGTCACGAAAACCACCTGCAGGTAACAAAGCATCTGGAAAGAGTGGAGGTTCGAGGGTGTCACAGACATGGAACCAGCTTCCCTTTCTCCATGTCTTTCCCCTTTCAACATGACCCCGGTTGAGACAAGCCAGTTTTTCCCTCAAACATTGCATCAAAACATCCCTGTACTTGGTGAGGGAATGGTTCTTGAGGTTTTGCGGACATATTCCCAATATCCCCCCCCCCACCCCCCGGCCGTTTCTGTTAGATCAAGTGGCTGCCATATGACAGGTGCTTCTCACTGCCTAGTTGCCCCCCCTCCCCTCGCCGTTTCTGATAGATCAAGTGGCTGCCATATGACAGGTGCCTTCTCACTGACAAGGCTTGTCACGCAACTCCCTGCAAAAAGGGACGTCCGATGTAAACCCGCAGTGGGAAAAAAATGAAGTCATCTGTACAAATGTGTGTTGGTACCCTTTTCTCGGCTTTATTTGAATTGGAAAACCTATTGGAAACCACGACTTTTGGGGTTCCCTCAAAATACAAACCCAAATCATCCTGGATTTTGGTGCTCAACTCTCTGAACTTCCCGACTCAGGTTTGCTCAGTCGGGAGCAGAGGGACTGGGACGGGCGGTTGGTGGCGGTCTCTGTGGTGTTCACTCCCCGTAAGCTACCCCCTACCGCAAAGGAACTGCAAAAAGGGTATGCGCACCATGTTCACTTGGATTTCTTTGCGGGGGAGTGGAAACCATCTTAAATGGTCCAGGTGCTTCGCTGCCCTGGTCGGCTTCACAAGTGGTTTGGCAGCTTTGCATTGTTCATGACGTTTGGTGGTCGGCCCCTTCCCGCAAGAAGTGCTCTTCGACCCTTCTGATCGAACTCTGATCGAACGGAGAACCTTTCTGTTGCCCCAGTGCTTCTCCGAGCTTTCACATCAGCCAGGACCATGTCTCTTTGACCCCATCCTCCTCTCGTCGACAAGGCAAGGAGAGCGGCCCTCCCTCGCACGCAAGGAGCCCAAATCCATCGAGAGAAAGGCCCGCCATGGGGCCGCGGTGTTTTTCAAATTACAGCCATGGGGTGCTGACGCGTGTTTCTGGGCCGTTTTTTCTTCTGCGTCCATTTTTCTTGTCTTCGTCTTCCGGATCCATTTGCGGGCTTCAATCGCGCCTTCAGGTTCCCGCGGGCCATGTGGATGCAGCCCTCCATGGTGTCCCCGGGGCATCCTCCCAGGTATTGCTTGCTTCGTCTGGCTGCAAGGGTAGGGTTTGCCTTGGGTTCTTGAGCCTCTTGGGTTTGAGTTCTTTGTTGACATAGGCTAAGCTGCAAAGGGAGCCAAAAAAACGCCAAGAAGACGGAAGTCAGAAGGGATCAAATGGGCGGTGAGGATCTGAATCACGAAAGGGATCCTACAGCCGAGCGTGCTGTGCCACCAGCGCGAGCAAAAAGCAATCGGGATCCTGGGCATGGCACACACGAAGCGAACGCCCCTCGTGCATCGTGGCAATGAGAATGAGAGAACCTTAGACTGCCAACCTTGAAAGCACCAGTCAGGAAGTGTTAGGAGCAAGCCCACATCCTTCCTTCGAAAAAAGAAGAAGAAGAAGAAAAACAAAAAAAAGAAGAAAAAAAACGGACCAAAGAACCAAATCACCCACCCAAACCCAAACCCAAACCCACCCACCAGCGGGAAATGTGTTTTTTTTCTTCGAGGTCCTTCCACGCGACCCAAACCCAACCCAAACCCCATTCACCCAACCAACCCCAACCCAAACCCGCCCAAACCCAAACCCAACCCCAACCCCAAATCCCGACGCCCCCCATGGAGGAATCACCCCTTCACCCACCCAAAACAAAAAAAAACAAGCACCACCACCCCGCCCCCGGAAAATATGAGTCTGTGACTCTTTTGTTCGTTGTTCAGTCTCTCCGTTGCTTCAGTCGGTCCTTCCACGCGGGGCCTTAGCACGATGTCGTAGACGAAGGGAAAGTAGAAGACCACGAACTTCACCGCGAAGAGCTTCACCGCCATGCTGGACTTCAGCTCCATGTCCGTGCGGTGGTTCTCCTGAGAGCTGTTTAGTTGAGTCACAAACAAAACGCGTCAAGAAACGGTCGACCCAGAACACTGCTTCAAGAATTCAGAAGGGTTTTACCACCCTCCATTTTCTCGGGGTTTTGAGCAAGTGGCTCAGTTGCCCCCCCCCTTGTTTTTCGGACCCAGAGGCTTTGTGTGGAGCCTTTGGTGCCCGAGGCCAAAGCGGCCAAAAGCCAAAAAAATGTGGGGGGAGCCTTGGGTGCCCGAGAATCGCCCAAATGCTTCACAAAAACTGTGTGTGGGGAGGCTTGGGTGGCTTGGGTGGCTTAGGTGGCTTGGTGGAGGCCAAAACCTCCATGGAACAATATGCTCCAAAAAAATTGAGGAGCTCGGTGCCCGAGTCCCAATCTTTTTCAGTGGCGACCTGCGATCCCCTTTCTCTGACCGAGTCAACTTCCCAGAGGCCGTCTTACGGCAAACTCTCCCAAACTTCGGCACCTGGTTTCCTTCAGCCTTTTGCTGTCAAAGCGGAGCAGTTCTGACCCGACCTTGGGACCCGATGAATCATCTGAACAGGCCAAATAGGCGAAATGTTCATCAAAGGCTACTGGGGAAGGCCACGCCATGCCGCGCATAAGACTGCGATGCAGGCGCAGGCAACGATTGAAAGTAGTCCAAGCAGCATTGCAACGCTCTTGCATGCAAATGCCCGCAACATCTGCGAAGCCCCATGCACGTTGAAAGCACGCATGTTTTGCAGCAGTTTTCGGAATGGCTTCAAGCCAGAGTCATCTCACCAAGCTTGAAATCACATGACTCGGATGCAGAAACTCTACAGCAGTCCTCCAACTACCCGCCTCACATTCTAGCTGACCCTAGCCACAACGGCTTCTTTAATTTTCTCGGCAGGTGACAGCAGAGATTCAATTGTACAAGCAGCAGGCCCAAATGACTCGCTGAGTCATACTCCCTGTATGCCACGAGCTCGCAGAATCCCGCGGCCCAACGTTGGGGCTCAACATGCCCTCGGGCCAAAACCGATCGAAGGCAAAGATGTACTGACGCACCCTCACGCCGAATCTTGGTACCCCCGGCAAGGAACTCGACGGATGAAAAGACCGTCCAGCAGGCAGGGCCCATGATGGTCCCTTCCAGCCAATCCCTCTGTCTCCAGCCTCCAACTTTCGGACTCGAGAAGCCGCTTGCCAAGGGAATCCAGCGGATTCCGCCCAAGGTAACTTTCCCAAGGAAACCTTGAGGAAAGTCTAGGCGTGTTTTGCAAGAAACGCCCACGACTTCTAAACCCAAACGCTTTCGGCGCTCCTTCTTGCTCAGCCACATGGACAAAGGCGACCAAGTACCTGGTTCCAGCGGGGGGATTCAAGCAAGCGTGTCGATGTAGGCAGGGGGGAAATGCAAAGCCACCCCGTAGCCAGCAAAAGCTCTTAAAACAACTGGCAAGCACGCATCCAAGCTGGGAGACACCAGACAAATTACGTGCTCGGACGCATCTAGCAACAGTTGCCGCCAAGTTCACTGAAATTGGAATCCCACCAGTAAACTGCTTGGGGAATAAAGAAAGAATAATATAGAGAAAACCTAAATCAAATTGGTAGCTACGGGGCGTTGAGGGCGCAGGTTCAACCAGCGATTCCATCTAGGCGCTCAGCAAAGTGTGCGGCGCGGAGTCTTCGCTTGCCCAAGGGTCAAAAGTGCTCATGTCAGCCAGCGGAACCCTGGCCTTGACAAAACGTCGCGACGTTTCCTCTCACCAATCGTTGCTCGGAATGTCAGGTGAGTCATAATCAATACCCGGGATGAAAACGGTCGACCCAGAACCATGCTTCAAGAAGAAGAAGGAAAAAAACAAAAAACAAGCGGATCTCCGAAGCCATTCATGCTCGGGGATTGTCCTTTACCTGCATCTACCCGGGTTTTGATTGCACGTGGACCGCTCGCTTGTGTTATGCCGGGAGGCAGTCCACCAGCTTGATGTTCAAGGTGACCGCGTAGGTGTAGCCTCGGATGATGTGCTCATTCTCCAGGCCGAAGGTCTTGCCGCTCGGGTTCTGCACAGCTTCCGCCCTGGCGGCGTGGTTCGGCTGGGTTTGGCGAGGTGCTGGGGGCGTCTTTGAAAGGCCAGAAGCCCAAGCTTCCCCGTCTGTTAATTTCAAGTACATGGAAAAAGTCCCTCCCAAGAAACACAGGATGGTTTTCATACTTTGTGTGGTTGATCTTTGACCACCACCCGGTGACCTGTCCAAGGAGCATCCGACAAGTGATCCGGGCGAACTGACCTCTTCAAACTGGGCCGAAGCCAATCCAGGAGTCGAGGATCGTAAGGGCCCAGATTTGCACCCAATTCAACAGGGTTGCTTCCCTCCAATTGGTAGTTTGGAGCACGGTGGTCTGGAAGTTAGGTGATGGTCAGGTGAGCCTCTACAAGCAGGAAATCCAAATCCAAACGCACCAATCCAAACCACCAACTAGGAATTACCTGAAGAAAGGGGTTCCTCCACGAGTTCTGCGTACTCAGCTTGGGATCATGCAAGCCACGCGAAGACTGCGAAGACTGCCCAGCCTGATGTTGGTAGCCCAATACCTCAGGTGCTTTGAAGAAAAGATGATCACCCTGAAATCAGTTGGTTGCCCCTACCTTTGAAAAGAAAGTGAACTTCTGATCCATATGGCTGTGGTATGCAAACTGGCTTGCCCTGGTGAATGGAACCAAGCACTGAAACCCCTCATGTCCAATTCCTGGTGCTTAAATTTTGACCCATACCCATATCTTAAACGTGAAATGGTCTCAAAGAGACCAACCAGAGCTGTTCCAAAGCTTCTTGCCGTGCTTCCTTTTCTCAGGCTCTGGTTTCTCACCACTGAGTCCGCTGGACCCCTCAAAATGCTCGCAACCAGCCACTTTGGAAGGTGAGTGGAAACGGGCACGCTCTAAAGGTGGATTTCCGGTCATCTCAGTCAGGCCCAGTGCCTACCTGCTTGCCCGCCCGCCCGCCCGCGTGTCTGTCTGTCATTCTGTCTTACGCTGCACATGAAAAACACCAGGTGCTGCTTGCGACTACGGTACACGAACCAGAGCGTCTCGCAGATAAAGAAGCAGCACAGGAACCAGTGCAACAGCTTGCGGAAACTCTCGCGCGCCTCGGTCCGTGCCAAAATAGGACCCCCAAAATGGCCAATGCAGCCTCTGTTTTCAGTTTCCCCTTGAAACGAAAGGGGGCCCGCCGAAGCTTCGGAATCCTCATGCAAATGGAGGTCAATATCTAGGATGGCATGACAGCGATCCTTACATTATACACCTGAACGTTGCCTTGTCAATGGTGGTGTCCCCATACTTTGGTGGAAAAAGCCATGTTTCAAATGGGCAAAATGTATCTTTCAAGGAGCGCTGAATGGGTGGAACCCTATGAAGACTGGTTGATACACCTCCTACAGGTGGATTTCGTCCATCCACGCGGGCAGGATGAATCTCGAAGCGGGCCAAGGTTCACTTGGGTCACTAGTGACCCCATATGGATGGACGAAATCCTGCGCCAGTCTTCATGGATGAAACCCTGTGCTGAGTAAACCATCAACTGGCGCAGGATGCGGTCCATCACTTTACAAGCCTCGGTATGGTAGCAAAAAAGTGTTTTGTCGCATCCCCGAACGAAAAATGAACAGATCCAAATCACAAAAAACTTACCAACAGTGAAGATCAGCCGTTCCTTGGGTTGGGAACCCCATGCTTTTCTTCCTGTTTCTGAACATTTTTCTTTTTTGGGCTTCCTGTTTGCTCAGGCGCCGTGCCCCGGCGCGCATCGTCGAACTCCCGGCGCACGGTGCCGGCGCTCTCGTCCGTGGTCATGCCCCAGCGCAGGAGCTTCACATTCTTGTCGTGCTGGTAGTCTGCAAGCTTTGACGCGCCAAAGCCAAGCTAAAGGCGCGCCCCGAAAAGTGTCCCGCAAGTTTCTTCTGTTGAGAAATCCTACTCACCAACAAGACCCCCTGAGTCAACTGCTCATCGCGGCAAAAGACCACAAGTGGTTTCCTTGTCCCTTGTGGGGAAGAAACCACAAGTTGTTTCGTCACTCACCAAGAAGACCCCCTGAATCAACCGCTATTTTCCCCAAACAGTTTACTGTGATGGGTTCTCACTTCATGTAAAGTGACTCGCCTCCTGCAAAGCCCTAGCCTGGATGTCTGGATTTGTCTCCCGTTGTCTCCCTTCATTTGTCTCCCGTTGTCTCCCAGCCTGGATGCCTGGCACGGCTCTCTTGGTGGACGGGTTCATTTGTCTCCCTTCATTTGTCTCCCGTTAGCGGATTGATTTGCTTTGCTTTGTCTCCCTTTACCGGCTGTCTCGCAACCTGGATGCCTGTCACGGCTCTGTGGGTGGACGGGCCTCCCAGCCTGGATGCCTGGCACGGCTCCCTGGGTGGACGGATTTGTTTGCGGTGTGTTCCGCGGGCACGAGTGAATGATTTTGTGTTCTTGGTGTGGTCCAGCTTACCACATCGGCGCGTTCCAAGTGTTCACGCACGTTTTGCATGTGACCGCATGAGTGTGTTCCACGTGAGCACATGTTTGTGTTCCAGGTGAAAGCATGCGATTGTTCTGATAGAACACATATGCGAGCCGGTCAAAACTCTTAGTAAGGGGCTTTCTGCAGCTTTTCATTCATACAAAGCGGAGTCCTGCAAATACCAATGGATCGCCCGCTTCCCGCTGGAGGCGCTAGGATGGCGCTTGGTTCGCGCTAGGGTCTTCGGTGATCTTGGTTTCCAAGAGTTGGGGCCTGGGTTGCCGCGATGGGCTTTGTGTGGCTTTCAAGGGTGTAATGTTGCAGTTCGTACTTGGTACTAAGAAGCCAGCCCGCACGTTTACCTTCATCTTACGTGTCAAATCCACACACATGGTCGCCGTGACTCCAAAAAAATACGGCGAACCCGCACTAGCCGGGCGCTAGCAAGGCGATAGCACAGTGGTCAGCCGTGACCGGTTCCCAGTTGCGCCTCAATCCACATTTGCTTCCACTTTCCTCGCGCTCAATTAGCAGGGAATGCGTTTTGCTGGACAAAGCGGAGAAAAGACGGCTGAGGCAAGAAGGCAGGGATGCTTGTAGTGAGCGTACGGAAGAATTTGGTTGCGTATTTCCCTGCGAAAGCAAATGCTTTACTGAATCGATACGAAGAGTTGCCGCAATACGGGACAAGCACTTTAGATTGCTCGATACGGAAGACACTGCGCAGCTAAGCGAGAAAGAAGTGCAATACGCCGGAAAGCTTTTGCTAAACTGAAGCCTGTAAATACTGGAGCAGGCTCGCGCGCTAGCAACGTGAGGCAAAAGCTAGATTGATCACACACGAACACTCTTTTCCTACTTGGAACACGCATATAAAAGACAAGCGTTGTTCAAGGCAGACCCCATGGAATAGCGCCTCACAGCCGGCTTCGGGAACTTGATCTATGTGCCGCCCAGGCGTGCAGAAAAATGTTTGTTGTCCAGGTGAGGCCAGGTCTGCGCCAGGGTTACGCGTGAACACAAACGCCTGTTCCAAGTAAGCGCATGTAGGGGTCCACAAATGTGTGCTGCAGGTGAACAGAAATGTGCTTTCCAGACATACACACATATGTGTTCCAGGTGTACGCATGTGTGTGTGAGCACGCGCGCGTGTGTGTGCGTGTGTGTGTGTGTGTGTGTGTGCGTGTTCCGGGTGCGCATATATGTGTGTTGTTCGCGTGTGCACATATATGTGTTTAACACGTACACATATGTGTGTTCACGTGTACACACATGTGTGTTCCTATCAGACACGTGTGTACGCATGTTGTTATCAGATGAACACGTGTGTGTGTGTCTGCTCTGTGTGCACACGTATGCGTGTTCATTTGTGCACATATGTGTTTTCCACGTGTACAAATTTGTGTGTTCACGATTGTTCACGTGTACACACATGTGTGTTCCAATTGGACACGTGTTTGTGCTTCAGAGGAATACATGTTTCTTTTCAGATGAACGCACGTGTGTTTGTTCCGAGTGCATGTGTGTATGTGTGTGCACGCCCACGCATATGTGTTTTGCACGTGTACACAGACGTGTGTTCACGTGCACACACTTCTGTGTTCCAATTTTAGACACGTGTTTGTGTTCCAGGAGAACACGTGTTTGTTATCAGATGAACACTCGTGTGTGTGTCTCTGTGTTTTCCGCGTGCACATAAGTACACATGTGTGTGTGTTTCACGTGTGCACATGTGTGTGTGTGTGCTCACGTGTGCACATTTGTGTCTCCCACGTGTACACATATGTGTGTTCACGTGTACACACATGTGTGTTCCAATTGGACACGTGTTTGTGTTGCAGGTGAACACATCATTGTTCTCAGATGAACACTCGTGTGTGTGTGTGTGTTCCGGGTGCACATGTATGTGTGATCACGTGTACGCAAATGTGCGCTCCACGTGCGCACATATGTGGGGTCACGTGTACACACATGTGTGTTCGAACTGGACACGTGTTTGCGTTCGAGGAGAACACGTGTTTGTTATCAGATGAACACGTGTGTGTGTGTCTGCTCCACATGCACACGTATGTGTGTTCACGTGTTCACGTGTACACATGTGTGTTCCAATTGGAGACGTGTTTGTGTTCCAGGTTAACAGATGTGTGATCCACGTGAGCATATTAGTATGTTCTAGGTGAACATTTTTTGGCATCTGACGACATATTTGCTCTCGAGGTGTGAACATGGATGTGCTCCAGAAAACGCATGACTGTTTTCGAGGTGCGCGCATGTGTGTGTGTGTGTGCGCTTTCGGTGTACACACACGTGCGAGTTTATCGCACACGCGGTGTTCCTGGACACATATTTGTGTTCCAGTGGTATACATATGCGTTTCCCACGTGTACACACATGTGCTTTAATTGCACGTGATTGTGTTCCAGTTGAACACACGTGCGCTCCACGTGAACACATTAGCGTGTCGTAGGTGAACTTTGGTGCCTTTTGCTTGGATGTTAGGACTTTAACTTTTTGCCAACTAATGGGTTTTGCCTGAAACCACCACAAGTCAAACTTTTAGCAGGGGGGCAGCAAGCAACCGAGTGTATATGTGTGTGTTCACGGGTGCACATCTGCGCGTGCCGCGTGTACTGTTTCAGTCGTATACATATGTGTGCTCCCCGTGTGCACACATGTGTGTCTGAATTGGACATGTGTGTCTGAACTGCCCATGTGACCGCGCGCTTGCGCAACCACACTTGGCGTTCACGCGCGCTCGCCCGCTGTCGCACGCGCACGCCCAACCCCAGCGCCGGCGCGGTGCTGAAGCGCGAAGCACGCCAGCAACACACGTGCAGCAACGCAACGCGTGCCAGGTTCATCGACTGCATCATTTTGATTCATCCGTGTTGAAGCGCAGAAAGCCACAAGCTAGTCCTCAACTGTTTGGGGTCTCTGCTGGTGTCATTTTTTGGCGGGTTCCGGGGTTGCCATTCATTAGGTCGAAGACAAATAAAACTGGCCAAATTGTGGAATGCGTCTTGGTTTAAAAAAGATTGGAGGGGATTCTTGTCGGCAAGCAAACCACGAAAGCAGACCATGTTTCCAAATAAAGCCTCGGAGCAGGTGTTCGTGAACCACTTTGGCCTAGATTGCAACCGGGTTTTGCGACGCGCCCGCGGGACTGACTGTCTTTCTTTGGAGAGCCAAAGCTGAAATGTCTACCCTGTGAACGGAGCACGGGTTCCGTCCAACGGATCCGAATCGGACTCGTTTTTTCCGGGCAAGGCCGCACTGACCCTGTTCAGCGATTCCTAGGCAAGGCCTTTGAGGGATCCCTGATTTATCGCAATGGGGAGTACTTGTCAAAGATCCGATCGCAAAATAGCAAGAGCACTCGGTGTCAAGATCCAAGACCCACCGAAGTTGCGGAACTGTTGGGCAGTGCGGGCTCAGTTGCCCGCAGGTGCTCATGCCAGAGATTCACATACGGACAATGTTACTGGTTCCTATCCATGGTCAACGGTGTGCAGATTGGAAGCTATTGGTACAGCCCACTGATGCCCATCAGTTTCATGTTGAATCACAAAGCAGATGTTGTGAGCCCGGGCAATTTCGCTCCTGGTGTTGCTGACATTTTGGCTGCGACAACCGTGGGTCGAACCTTCTGTTTTAGTGGCACAAACTGATTTCAACCAAAAAGAGGCTCAACTGGCAACCCCTGCTTCCCACTGTTCCGAGCTTGATCGGTCGCAGCGCACATCAACCCCCAATTCTATGCACATGAGCCACGGCATACTCGTCGTGTTTCATGGTGGCATGGGAATTTGCTAAACCCCCAGGGTCCAATTTCCACTCAAACAAAAATGTTGACCCAGGATTAATACACCCGTCCCGTTATTTCAGGGGCGTGAAAACCCCTCCAAAAGTGGTCTGAATCCCCACTAAAAGGGGACACCCCCCGATCAAAATCAAGCAGGGGTTCTGCTTAATCCGGGGTTAACATTAAGAGAACCCAAGGCGCAAGCCAGGAAGAAGGTGGTCCAGAGGCACCTCACTTGATGAAAAAGTCACCCTCAAACCTCGTTCGATTCGAATCAGGCGGACCCGAAACTATGCAAGATTTTTTTAAGGGCGGACCTGCCAACCCATGGCTGGCTGGGATTGTCTAACCTTCCTCTACCCTTGTGTTTGATAAATGAGGAAAAATGCAAGCTTTCGTCGTCCACTTCCATCCATTCTTCAGCTTCCGCGATAGGAAATGTAGCTCCTCCTTTTGGCCGGATTCAAAGAGAACCGCAATCAGGAAAAAGAACAACGGCTGCCAGTAATTAAACAGACAAAGACACATGTACAGCCCGAAGAGGGTGTCAATGACGTGCACGTGCGTCTTCGGTACCAGCTTACGGATCAGGAAAATGATGATGCTGACAGCAGCAGGGAAGAAGACCCACCGAGAGAAGCTGTTGTAGAAGTGGAAAAAGAGCCTCGGCCACGAAGCCAAACTCCAGCCACTCGTTTCCGTCTAGCGCCGAAGGCTCTTCACCATTGGGTGGATGTGGCTTCGCGCTCCCAAAATCCGCCGGACAACCCGCAAAAACCAGTGTGTATGGAGCTTCCCAAAGTCTTAGTGCAAACCCTCTGAAGCGAAAAGAGGGATACTGATAGGGAAACACCCCAACCACATGCGCCAATGGGTCTCAAAGCGGTCGTTTACAACCACTAGGTCCTCCAGTAGAGAGGTTAGAATAAGGGTACCCTTTATTCTGTGGTCTATGTTAGCAGGGGAACCGTCCCCCTCAAAACAGGGGTAGAGAAGGGCACTACTGGGGGACCTAGACCATCATGAAGTCTGCTTGATTCTCAACGGAACGCCCAAACCCTGCCGCTCTCTTGGCCGTCATATGTGCTTGAACTCCCCTTCCCGGCCCGAAGCTGCTCCAAACCACTCCAGAGCCTGATCAACAGGAAAGTGTTGCTTTGAAACAAAACCAAACCTTGCACAAATGGCTGTGGCTCAAAAAACCGGTACCAAAATGGAACCCTGGTAAGTGGAAACATGGACCAAAACCTGCGTAACCCCTCCTGTTTAATTTTGAGCCACACCCAAATGAAACAGCGCCACCTATCCCCATCCAGGCAATTGAATGTGAGACCCCTCATGACCCGTGTTTTCGATTCACAGAGGGGAAGCGTAAGGCCCCCTCTCCCAAACCGCCCTCCCAACAAAAAATGGAACCCAAGGACCAGGAAATTACATGACGAGACGAAAAGTGAACTCCTGCACACTAACATTCTATCCAGTCTGGAAGCAACCTAATAAAGTGCCCATGTTTGGTAGCTGACTTTAAAACGAACGAATGCTGGCAAGAGGAAGCACCTCCTGCACCCCACTGGAGCCCTGGAAAGCTTTCCCTGGAATTCCCCCCCCCCCAAACCAAAAAAAAAAAAACGATCTAGGGCGTCCAAGCCAAAGTCCCAGCCGTCCGGGAGACCCGGTGGGGGCTCCGAAGTACTCCTCCACGGAGTCGGAGCTGCCCTCGTAGGGCCAGTAGCAGACCCGCGTGGGGTCGTTCCAGCCCCTGACGCGCACACGGCGCGCGTGAAAAACCGCGACCAGCGGCCGACCCAAAACCAGCTGCCCTCCAGAACCGGGTCGACCTTCGGAGTGGCGAAAGCGATCTGCGCCTCTTCTCCAACTCTTTGAGCTCGTCCCACTTGTGCACTGCGAAGAAGACATTCGCCACCTTCTCCTGGAGCGAGCCGAGTCCGACCATAGGCAAGGGAACCCTTCGACCAAAACGAAGGAACATGTCGCGGCACCTATTGCCTTTGCCGTGTCTTTCGTGCAAAACAGAGCATAGGTCCAAACTTCATCCGCGGACATGCGGTCTTTACTTGGCTGGACGGAGACCACCCACAAAACCCCCAGCAGAAGTGAACTGTTTGCTGGTCAGAAGGGGATATGAAGGAAACAAGGATGAAAAAAAGTCCGCCTCCTTTATATGACAGCCGTCTCCAGCGGTTTTCCCTTGAGCAAACATTCTGTTCAGGCTGCAATCTCCCCCAAACTACCCCGAAAAGCTGAGCGAAAACGCTGAAAATGATTGGACCATTTGGTTTTGTCTCAATGGTTCCTTCAAAGCGCACTCAAGAATGGTACTCCAAGACAGGCACACCCCGATTCAGAGCGCCTGAGCAGCAGAGACTCCGAAAAAGGACATGGCCAACACGAGAATGGGCAGGTGAAAACACCTTCCGCAGCCCCCACAACAAATGGTTGGAAACAAGAAGCGTGCCTAGAACAGAACGTGTTCCATTTAAGCGCGGTCAAGAAAGTGCGGTAAAAACCGTGGGCGTTTCTAGAAGAAAAAATGGTGGACATCATTGACATGGGATGTGTATTCCTTGAAAGCAATGCTTGAGGGTGCTCCCAATCAAAAGAAAGGCCGTGCAACCCCATCCATACTGCGTAGTACAAATAAACTCCCGATACGTGGAACACCACTGTAACAAGGGAAACCACTCCCATCTCCCGATGAACTTTCTGCCCCACATCCTGAGGTCCCTGGTTTCCCCATTGAAGTTTTCACCGGGAGCTTCTCAAGATGGTCTTTGGTCGGTATATCACGGGAAGCCAAAAGGAAACCAGCCGCGGGACCGACTCCTTTTCGACAAGAATCAAACAAAACAAATCTCCGATTTTGAGCACGACATCCAAAAGCGGGGGGACCCCCTCCTGGAAAGAAACACCCATTCCTTGTGGCTGATCCAAACACAAAAAAACAAGCCACCAACAATTTTGAGCACACCATCCGATTTCAGGAGGGTGGGACCCATTTCTTGTAGGCAAGTCCCCGGGCAAATCCCATGGAACTGTCGCCTCTAGGAGCTTGACGATGGACATCCGCCCCCGCAGCCCCCGGCGCAAGATCCGCAGCACCTCGAAAAAATGGACGGAGACTCGACCCAGCGAACGCTTGGGGCGGTCTCCAACACAGAAAACCCGTAAGGAAAAGAAGGTTTGTGTGTGGGTGTCTGATTTTGTCTCTGTGTGCTTCGTCTTTCATCCTGGAAACCACAAGCTCCAAGAAGAGGTATCCGGTATCCTCAAAAGTACACACACCACTTGGGTCTGTGTGTGTGTGTGCGTGCTTCTTCTGACGAGCAAATTCCAGAGAGGCCCAAGTGAATACATACTGAGGATACCCCTGTGAGATTGTAGAAACAGGACGACAAAAGAAGAAGCAGCAGCAGCAGAAGAAGTTGACCTTTTGGGACCTGGAGACGCGTGAAACAAGCAAAGACTAGGTCGAACGTGGGTGAATCTTGCTGACTTGGTGAGCGACCCGCGACCCTGCCCATCAGCCCCCTGAAGAAATTCCCAACCGAGTGGTCTCCCCAAAAAAAGAAGACGCGCACACACACACACACACCCACACCCACCCACACACACACACACACACTCATCCCCCCTTATTAAGGTGGGGTAGGGGGTCCCCAATTCCATTTGCCTAGCATTCCCTAAGGGAACATGGAACCATAAATGGAGATCTCGTGGGGTCGAAACACACAAACGCACTCTTGCAAAACCCTCTTTTTGGTTTTTAAGGGGGAGCTGAAATTGGACAACCATGACTGTTGGAGGGTCCCCAAAAAGACACACACAAACACACAGACACACAGACAAACAGACACACACAGACACAGACAGACACACAGACACACCAACACACAAACACACAAGCACACAAACACACAAACACACAAACACACAAACACACAGACACACAGACACACAGACACACAGACACACAGACACACAGACACACAGACACACAGACACACAGACACACAGACACACAGACACACAGACACACAGACACACAGACACACAGACACACAGACACACAGACACAGACACACACACAGACACACAGACACACAGACACACAGACACACAGACACACAGACACACAGACACACAGACGCACACACACACACACACACACACACATACACGTGTGTGTGTGTGTGTATGTGTATATATATATATATATATATGTATGTATATATATACAAACATCCATATAGATATACACACACACACATTTTAGTCTTACAACAAAGGTGGATATTTAAACCCCCAGGCTTCAACTCCAGGACTCTCGCCTCGGTGTCTTTGGGCTCCTCAACCATGTCGTGCAGCCCCGGGGTGTAGCGAACGTACAAAGGGCACTCATTGTACACCTCTTGGCCCTTCAGATTCACCCCCACCTCAGCCAGGGAGCAAGGGCTGAGAAATCAAAAACGGGTGTCCCCTTTTGGGTCTTAGACCTTTAGCTCACCGTAACTTGTTTGATACTTTTCTCAAGGACGGACTTCTTTGCAAGAACATCGGTGAATAAGCGCGTTTTTGAACCTCTTTCAGTTGGAATCATCCATCTCTTGGAACCCTAAGCCCCTTTGTGTGTTCATCCGGGCTTAGCAATACAAAAGTTCAATGCTGGGCCAAGGCCTGAAAATTGGACTTGGAGTTTTCCCCCGCCGGAAGATTTTCTTTGGCCCATCCAGAACTACCTCAGCTGACCCAACTCACAAACGACCTTTCGGGATTCCGCTTCGCAGGTGAAACTTGAGATGGAATCTTATGTAACAGATCAATTCCCCTCGGAAAACGGCCCTTTCTGTGGCACTCAGGTGTCGCATCCCCACAACTACTTTGGCCCCGCATGGGGCCTTCAGCGCCAGGAGCTTGCTGGCCCCCCAACCGACCCGAACATCGCACGCCTTACGTCGCTGCCACGCGTTGTCCACCTGGCGATGGCTGATTGCACACGACCTCTAATGGCCCGGCTTTTGGTCAGACGGGGCCCCACGCCAACTTGCCAAATGTCAACACATGCTGCTTGACATTTTCGAGACCCATATGTTTGTTGGATTCAGTCAGACTTGCTGATGCGATCAGGCATGGACGACACCACACAGATTCCCAACGCCATCGCACAAGAGTACACCCACTGAGCTGCAGTCTGAGCACTTGCATTTCCTTTCGGCCCCTTTCGAACCCCCTTTCGGCACCCGTTTCGGCCCCTTTTCTTGGTTGAGGTCGGAAGGGGAGCAAAAATTGACATTTTTTAGCAGGGTTTCAGCCACTAAACCACAAAAAGCAAAATCATCAACAACCATCAACATCAACAATAGACGTCTGATCATCAAAAACAATAAATGTAAGCAGTTAAGTGGATTTGGATTTCAACAACTAAACCACAATAAGCAAAAATGTAAAAACTGTTTCCCAACAACAACCATGAAACCATGTTGAGGTTGGTTTCGAAGGGGAAACACAAGAACACTGGGCACCTATTTTGGCAGTCCACTTCCTGAGTCGAATGTTTCCCAACAACAAGCAACAACAACAACATGGTTGCAACCCAACAACCCAAGAAAAATGTGTCCCAACAACTGGGATCCTTACATTATACATCTGAACATTGCCTTGTAAATGGTGGTTTCCAACTTTGTTTTGGTGTTCAAATGGTGGTAAAATGTGGCTGTGGGTCAAAACCAATGGGATCCCATTTCGGGCTAGGTGAATTCACCACCCATCTTGGAACTTTCCTCTTTTAGTCGGTGGGCATTGAATCGGATGTGAAAACTGGGGCCTAACCGAAATTCGGATTTTTCGACTGGCGATGTCATCTTCTTCACGGAGCCCTGAACCACCCGATCGGCGCCTTCTCATCCGTGGGGCACTCGCTCTTCACCGCCGCGTACGCCTGTGGCGCCACCCGCACCCGGGCCTGCGAAAAGGAATTTCTGGGGCCGGAGGTCCGAAGCCGAAGGCGGTCCCAAACGGATCCAAAAGGATTCGGAAAAAAAAAAAAAAAAAAAAAAAAAAAAGCCGTGGATGTGCTTTGATTTTCTTGTTTGGCCCATGGTGGTTGCGTTTTGCTTTGCTTGTGGCTTGCTGAGTGGCAAATCGTTCTCCTGTGGTTGGTTGTTCTTGTTGCATAGTTGTTTTTCTGTTTTTGTTCCCGGTGCGTTGTGTATTTCGGTGTTGGCTTTGCGTGTTGGTTTCTCGTTTCTTTGGTTCGTTCGTGTTTGGGGGTTGTTTGCCTGTCTTGGTCGATGGTTGTTGGGCGGCCCACGACAATCTACAGAAGGGCTTGTGATTCTTCAGTGACATGAATCTACTGATAAGCGTTGGCTTGAGGATGCCTTTCTGAAAGGGAGCTTCAACGGAGGAAGCCGGGATCCGATAAAGTAAATCTCCTCCCACTCGGATCTGAGATTGGTGGTAAAAAGGAAGCAAAGGTAAATGTCCCGTGTGTTTTGGTATGTTGGAAGAAACCAAAGCGAAACAAGGAGAGCGCTCAGCCCAAGGCCCTCCGCTGAAACTCTTCAGATCCGTCGAACTGAAAAGCGTCTCTTGGATCCATCTTCTTTTTACTCTCGTCAACCCTTGGGCTCAGAGTACATATTCTTCGGAATGAACCAAGGCTGGACGAATGCCAAGAGCTTGCGGCGGCCGCGGAAGAACTTGGGGCTCTTGGAATGGACCAGGCCTCTTCAACAGTGGGGCTGTCTTTCGACAGGCCGAGCTCACGAGCTGACCCGAACTCGTAGGTTGATCTGGTGAGGGGTCCAAGTGGGGAGCCTAAGAGATGTATGACCCCTGGAGAAAAAAAAATCCGGCTGGAATCCCTACCCTTGGGACGTCATACATTGAGACGATCGGCGAACAGCAAATCCGGCAACCCCGATCGAGAAAACCGGGCCGGTCGAGTAATATAGTCACCTGATGGCACAACCTGACCTCCAACGGATGAAATAGTTCAATTTGTTGGGAGTTGGTTCTCAGGTTTACATCTTGAAAAGGGACAATTGTTTTCGAACCGGACCCAAAACCCTCGTGTGGGCAATCAGCTTCCAAAAGGAATGAACCATGAACCCTCTTTGTTCATCGGGCACCGGACCTGTCCAGAATCAAAGATCCGAACCGAATCTGGACCGAAACAGCAACGGCTGTTTCGAACCTTCAGTCTCCCAGCCTCCGCCCGGATCGCAAGGTCGTGCAAGGCCTCCGTGGACCTGTCGACAGCTGACAACACTTTCGCTCGGCGAAGTCGGAATCGAGTTGAAGCATCGACAAGTGCGATGGACCCAGTTGCTTTGGTCCCAGTTTTAACGAAACCAGCAGCAAGGGCTGGTTTAACTTGGGGGTCAGACTCCAGCACTCTCATTCCCTACCGCACCAATCGCAAGTCATGCAACGTGGCTTGGGGATCGGTGTCCAAATATCGAAGCTTCCCGAGAACTCGCGCCTAGAAGGAAGCTCCTAGGGCCAAACAAAACGCTCCCAAGCAGCGAGTTCGGTTCCCCGGGTCCGACTTGGGGCTTTGGATTTCCAGGTCTGGGAAGAACCAAGCCAGGTTCTCCTGAAGAATTCCACACGTGGACGGCAGTGACCATGTCCCCTTTCCCATTGGAAGAGGGGGCGTTCGCTAGTCTTCCATAAGCCGATCATCCACTTCTGGGGAAGCAGGCACAGACTAGGTAACCCAACAAGTGTTACGCCTTACGGCCATCTGGCACAGGGAAAAATGCAACGACCGGGTTCATAGGTTTGCTTGAAACCATCATTGAAGGGGTCCCGTGGTGTCCTTGAAAAGGGGTCAAAAGGAATCCCTGCTGTACAGCAAACGGCTTCCATTTGCTTTCCCTTCAAGTGCCACCGCTTGGCGGTTGTTTCAATCCGAGGACTAATGCAGACCCATTTAACAAGGGTGCCCCCGCATTTCGGAAACAAGTGACACTGAAGTTGAGCGAAAACGGGGGGCTTGAATACACCTGAACCATTTTGGCAGAACCAAACAACAACAGACATTGTGCGCAAGTTGTGTTGGACCCACCCGTTGTGCGTCAACCCCGACAAAGAAAGAGTCTGCTTTAAAAAAGAAAGAAAGAAAGAAAGAAAGAAAGAAGAAAAGAAAAAAAGGGGGGGCGGTCCCAAACCTCACCACCCAGACTTCCAGTGGCAGGAAAAAGCGACATGCCCACTGAGACATTTTCAGGCACGCCGGGCTTCATTACGTTATTGCCTTGAAGGGAATATAACGTCCCCAGTTTTGGGTAGATCTTAATGGGTGCTCTAGAAAACTGACTTTGTGGTTGAGTATGGTTGTTTTACTTGCAACATGTACCGCGGCCACAATGCGTTGAGATGCAACGCGTGCAACGCGAATGCCTCCGGAGACCAAAGGCCACGAACAGCTCGTCATCGTCCACAGAGTGGAACTGATGCACCTGTGGCGGACCCAAGACTGCCGGATTTTCAGTTGGGTTTCCATTTAAAGCAACCCCAACACCCACTCGGAGAATATGGGGTGGGGGGGAGGGTAGTGGTGTAGTGTGGGTCAGGAATTTGTTTAGGGCTCATCTGGGAAAGTCTAGGGTTGATTTGGGTTTGGTTTCACCTTGTTTAAGGCTGGTTTGGTCGGGGGGGGGGACCGACAGTTGGAACCAGAGTGAAATATTCCAGAAATCTTGGGAAGATGTCTGCTTTCCTGCTCCCACATTGTTTCATCGTGGTTCATTCCGGAAAATAACATCCCAGCAATCCTGGGACCGGCAACAACTCGATTTGGGGACTTATGGCTCACCCCACAGACCAGAGGTCTGAGCCTTGCTGATTGTCAAAGTCAACCCCCAAGTGATAGCTCAACAAAAGCAAATCCCCAGCTGACTTTGCTAACACCAACGAGGTCGGGGGAAAAAGAAGAGAAAAAAGCAATCCCAAGTAGAAGCATGGTCTAGTACATGTCAGAGGACCGGTATCGCTTTCTTGACACCACGCTTTTTCCAAGGTACAGCTTTCTGCGCAAGAAATCCGAGGGCACAGAATCAGATTGCTCAAATGGGTGTGGCTCAGAATTCCAGAGCTAAGGCAAACCGCAGGATTTGATCTTTGGCTCCATTTACCAAGGTGCCATGTTGGTACATTTATTTGAGCCACAAAGGTTGGAAGCGCCTACCGCTGGAAAGCTGACCCCAGGCAGCTGCCAACTCTCAGCCGGTTGCGCTCCGGCCTCACAGCCGAGCTGTCCCAGGATCTTCACCACATGCTTCACCACCTCTCGAGTCTTTTGCGACGGGGCCCCCAACCTTCGCTGGCTTTGGCTTTCAAAAAGCAGAAGCGGACCCTACGATTCAATGCCGAACAAACATGACCAGCCGAAACCAAGTAACGCCGCGGTTTCAACATGTGTTCTTGACTCTTCAATCCCGTGTATCTTGCCCTCTCTTTTCCACCGGTGTTTTCTGCTTTGTTTGCTTCTTTGACAGAGTTGTTTCATACTGAACTTCATCTGGGCTCCAGTTGTCCTTTGGGCTTCCTGTTGAAAAGCCGTCAACCGGTTTGTGCATTTTGCATTGTTCAAACATGTCGGGAACAAATATCCAACCGACAAACGAACCAAAAAAAACTGGTGACCGACCGGACACTAGCTTTCGAGGACATATTAGGTTGTCCCTCCAGTGTTGGTGGTAACTTGGGGTGGCTTCTTTCTCGTTCTCTTCAAACCACAGTGGACCAAAAAAGCGGCTCTCAAAAATCGGGTACAAATAGCAAGCGCCCTAAATGGAAAGGACCACAACACAAGTTCTGCGGCCCAATTCTCCTTCATCTTGACCCAAAAAATGGGTCGATCGGTGGGGGGCAAACCGCCACAGATCCATCGACCCCCCACCTTCTCGGTGAACTCCTTCAAGGTGATTTCTCCAAAGTCCGGATACTCCGGGTGCGCGCTGTGCACCGTCTCCGCCGGGAAAAACGCCGCCCACAGACCTGAGAAGAAGTGTTCGAAGCAAACCGAAGGTCATAAAACGCCATACATGCCCATGGCACCACGTTGGTGTTTTTGTTTTCTCACCTTGGAGGGGAAGGTTTCAAGCGAAAAATGCCCCTGGCACGAGGTTGGTGTTCTCTTTTTTCTCACCTTGGAGGGCTGAGATCAAAGCCGTGAGGCCAGGAGCCGCCCAAAAACTGGGGAAGCCAAGGGGAAGCCCCAACGAGGGAAGCCCCTGGGGTGATCCCGCGGAAGAAAGAAGAAACGCGAGTGTCCACTGCCGATCAGGCTTGGGCACAAAGGCAAAGCAAGCCTGGTATCTTTCAAAGGGAAACCAAGAGGAGGTTGTCGGAACAACAGTGTCTTAAACATGTTCATGCAAGGGCCTCCCCTTGCAAAAAAAACTGCTTTCAAACGTGAGCTGCTTTTCATACCAAGATGCTCTTAGGATCCTCCACCAGTGTGGCAAACTTCTGCTCGTTCTCGGGCACAGGGATTGGGAAGGTCAGCACAAAC